TGGGCCTGCTTTTATGAAAGGTTTATTCCTAGTGCTAGATCCCAATCCCCCTGGGCTCTAAGCACAATTAAATGGGGTGGTGGATGGGGTAGGTGGGGCCCATCCAGAAGCAGGGCCAGAAATGGGGTTCCCCATTTTCCCTACCCCTTTGGTCCCAGTCCCCTTCTCTGCAATGGACATGCATAGAGGGGGGACAAAGGGTTCTGGAGGCAACATCATTGGCCCAGGGGAGCCCAAAAAGAGCTGCCATTTGGCTGACAAGGCCTTTTGAGGCTCTGTTGTTGGTCAGGGGAGAGAGGGGGGCATACCCCAGGAGCTGAGGATAGGCCTGAGGAGTGATGCCATTGGCCAAGGAGTGCTTTCTGTCATAGCCTTTGGCTGTGGAGTGAAAGGAAAAGATGTGGGAATGAGGGCCCATGATCAGGAAGATAAAAGGACAGGACAGCAGCTTCTGGGCCTTCAAGCCCTCTTCCCATCACAGCAGTGTGGGCAAAACTGGTATCAGGCTGCAGCCAGGGAAAGGGAGCCCAAGTCAGAGGGCAAGGGATTTCCCCGTGTCCAATCTCTCCTACCCTGGGGCTGCCTCTCCCAATGTCCTTCTTGACAACCAAGTTGGGCTAGGAGCGATTCACTGCTCCTCTAGCCAGGAGGGCTTCTCAGCTCCCGGAGGCCGTAGCTTGATGTTGAACTGCTGCAGGGTCTGCTCCAGTTGTTTCTGATTCCCAGCAAAGTAGGCGGACACAGCATTGTGGAAGAGCAGCAGCTGCTTATGCATCACCTTGATCTGGGGGTCCAGCAGGATCAGGTAAGGGTAGACTCAGGAGCCCTTCCCAAGGGGCTGTGAGCCTGAGCCTGCACACAGACCCAGGGTACACAGACTCAGCTCTGAATTGTTTTTGGCCTGGGGGCTGGATGTTACCCAGGGAGTCAAAGGAGAAGGGTCACTCTGATGGAGGAAACCAGACTTGATTTGTTGAGTCTAGGATCCTGGTACCCCCGGCCTAGGGCATGACCTTGCCCTGTTATGTTCCTGGGCCAGCAGCCAGATCCTCCACCAGAAAAGGTCGGAGATCAAAGGGAGGGCGACCTAGAAGGGCCAGGGCCTGAAGGGGCTGAAGGAACACAAATCACCTGCACCTAGCCTGCATTCCCCCATCTAGTGATACAGAGGCTCTGAGGTGTTGTCCTAGCTGGGAAGGTGGGCTAGGATCAAGGGAGTGGGGTTAGCACCTTGTTTTCTTCCAGGAACTTGAGTTTGATGGCCACATCTCCCCGCAGCTTCTCATACTTGTCCCGATGGGCCTGGAAAGTGGCCTGGGCACTCTCGAGTCGACCACGTGTTCCCGCATCCCGGGGACCTAGGCTCAGCTCTTCTAAGTCTGTTCGGTACGCATCATATTCCAGCCTAGGGAGGGGATGACAGAGGCTGGTCTCCATCCCTTTGTCCTCAACACACACTCTCCTTTATAATGCCCAAACTTCCACCCATGCCAGCCAAATTCCCAAACCTAGGCTCTGCCAGTGCCCACACCTGGCAGCCTCATACTGTTTGACAGTCATGAGTGTATCTTCCATGGTCTTGGTGACCAATGTGTTGATGCTAGAGACAAAGAAGTTCACAGCCCCCAGCAATGTTTCCCCATTCTTGCACAACAGCTTCTGCGTCTCTGCATTGTAGCCAAACTCCTCCTGGGGGCAGAAGAGAGAGACCAGCCTTCAGCAACAGCCGCTAAGTGAATAGAACTTAAAGCCTTTCATTTCCCTCCTCCCCAGGTAGGAAACAGCCATCAAAACTGGAACAACCAAGGATGTCTGCCTTCAGCAAGGCTCTCTTAGCCAGCAAATTAGTAGGGCAACCCTGGGGACACCTGGGTAGGATGTAGAGGCATGGGCAAATGGGGGTGGGTGGGTCTCAGATAAGTTCACATAGCTATTGCAGCAGGCAAGGGGGTGCTCCGATTAGGCTGAGTGCCAAAGGCATTTTTGACAACCTACAGAGGGGTTACTCGTGAGGCACCTGGTGTGCCCCCTCCCCCACCCCTTCCAACTTCTGGACCTCCGTACAAACCCTTAGGCTGCCTCCATAGGTGAGTGCTGCTGGGGGCAGGGCTGGGCCCACCCTGGAGGGGTTCTCCCTGTGGGCTGCAGGAGGGAGGGAGGGAGGCTGAGGAGTGACTGTCTGGAAGGGCCAGGGCCCAGTCCCCCAACCCTCTTTGGTCTGGTTGAGGCACCTGAAGTTCTGGGGACTTCTGGCTGAGGTCAGCAAAGGCGTCACCTAGTGCATGTTGGGTCTGCAGCAGACTGTAGAGGTGGGCTGTCAGTGCCCGGCCCAACTGAAGGACACTCTCATACTTGCGCTTCGTCTCACGCAGCAACTCAATCTGCAGCTCTAGCTCCAGGTCCACCGTCCGGGAGCCTCGGCCAAATCGTTCTGATAATAGCTGCTTTGTGCACTGATTAGGAAGTGAGGGAATTAGTCAGAAACCCTAGCACCCCGCCTCCCTCCCAATAGATCCCCCAAACTCCAGCACCCCCAGCCTCCTAGTCTCAGCCATAGCTGGGATATTAAGATTTGAGAAAAAATAACCCAGGGGGAAGTTTAGGGGAAGGAAGAGGTACTAAATCCCACCTTATATGTGTTGATGCCCCATTTTTTGACAATGTCAAACTTCTCTCCAGCGATGCCCCGAGCCACTTCATCTCCAGGGCCAGCAGGAGTGGTACTATGAGATGGATGGCGGCCAGACCCTAAAGGACCAAGTTCTCTGACACCAGCTGCTCTCAGCTACAAGCAGACACCTCTGTGGTCCCACACAGGCTTTCCTCCCAGCACAAGAAAATAATTCCCCTGAAGAAGCTTGAGACAAATGAATCTTCCTGCTCACAAAGAACATGGATCTAATGCCCTGAGAACCATATCCCAATATACACCTGGCCGTGTGTGTGTGTGTGTGTGTGTGTGTGTGTTAGGGGGTGGTCACCAGGAGCAGAACAAAGAGTGGCTGGTTACAGTGCAGGGACAAGAAGATACACTGAGTTGGGGGTAGGATATCAAAAATAGTGGTTCATGGCAACAGGAAATCTGGTTGATATTTCCATATGGAATCTCAGTTAGTAGGACATATGGGACTGTTTGTTCCTCTGAAGTTTAGAGTCTAAAGTAAAACTCTGAAAAGCCTCACAAAGTTCCAAATTAACCTTAAACTATAGAGCAGAACTCCTGTGAACCAAAAGTCTTTACTTGACTCAGATGGTGGAAGCAGAGAGGAGTCAAAAACACCCTGTCAGGGACCAGATGGAAACGGAAAGCAGACAACTGGGGGGGGGGGGTTGGAAGGGGGACTGGCCTTGGGCTGAGGACTCTGCCAGATTCATGTCAACAGAAGTTCCCAAGCTTTCCAAGATCTACTTATCTACTAAGCTCTTCCAAACCACTCCTGCCCGCCCCCCTCAAGCTTCCTGCCTCTGACCATTCATACCTGTGGGTATGAGTCCATCACCAGAGCCCCCATAGCCCCCAGACACAATGCTGGTTTCATTGAGGTTGGGTCCTGACACCATCACCTGCTGGAGGTCCTATAGGCCAGAGAAGAGGGGGGCTTCAGGAACACAGGGGCAGCTGAGGCATGGTGGGGTTGGGAACAAGCTTGGAGTGAAGCATCACAGAGGGAGCACACTAGAGAGGTCTGCACAGAATCAGAATGGAAATTTGTGAAAAGAATGACGGGAGGTACATAAATTCAGGGTGGTTTCTGCAAGAGGGATGAGAGCCCAGGGTTTATCGAGTGGGATTCCTCAATTCAGACTAGAAGAACCAAAGAGAAGCACCTGCTCCAGCCCATCATCTTCAGGAAGCTGCCCAGCTTCGCCGTTCCCGTGGATGGGGATCTCCATGGTAGCTGCCTTCCCTAGGATCCCGTCCGTCATGGCTAGGGAAGGGGCTGCAGCCAAGGCCTCCACCCCAGCACCCTGCAAAGCCCAACACACACAGTTCTGGAAACCGGCCAGCACTCTGGAAGAGCCAGTCCTCTACTGCGATGTCTCAGGTTCTAAAGGTAAGAGCCTGAGTGTTCTGGCGTTCAGCCATCACCCCCTTCCTCAGGTATACGTATTTCCCTCTACCCAGGTACATATTTTAACACACAGTACCCAAGCCTCAGGTGTCTTCTCATCACCTCCCCTCCCTCAACCTCGCCTGGACTTGGGTGATCATTCATCCACTCACTCATTCCCCTTGACGAGTGCCTACACGTGACAGGCACTTGTTGGAAGTGAGAGCGATAAGGCCTGCAATCAATCCCTGGTGCTTATCCCCGGACAGGTGCGTTTACTCCCACCAGGAGGCAACTCCTCTCCAGGGCTTGGGCGCTTCCGCCCCACTCAGGTAAGCTCTTTTACTGCTCCGCCTTTCACACCCCTAAATGTTCTTTCTCCTTCCTTCAGGTGGCCTTCCCACCACCACCCCCATCTCATGCATCTCCTCTTCCTGGGGCCCTCTCCATCAGGCCTTGGCTGAACCAGCTAGTGTACATGCTTGGTCGCTGGCAAAAGTCTCTTCCTTCGGACACGGGTGACCCCTTTCAAAGTCAGTTGCGGCTCTCAGGTGTGTGAGTCCCTTCCTCCCCCCATCGCCCCCATACACCTGGGCATCAGGTGTGTCCTCATCCTTGCCTATTCCTCAGGGGCATCTTGCCTCTGGACAGGTTCATGCATTCAACTTCCCCTTTCCCAAGCACATCCCTCTTACCTCGGGCAGGGGAGCTGTTCCCCTCAGGGCGCCAGGCCCGAGCGGCGCGGGGACCTCAGGTTCCAGTTCCCGTCGCGATCCTAGCAGCAGGTCAGCTACTCGGCGGAAGTGACGTCCTCTCCGGGCAGAAGAAGCCGGCCACGTCGCCGATTCTAAGGGCGGATGTGACGTGTCACCCGGGGGCAGGGCTATCCTGGAGCCAACCCTTTAGTCCTTGGGGGAGCGGCAAGAGACTGCTTCCGGGGCGGTCCCCAAAACCCTGTAGCGGAAGTGATGCGAGGCGTGTGCGCCTGGAGTGATGGAGCAACAGCAGCTTCACCAGCAGCAGCTGCGGAACGTGAGTGAGGGCTGAACCGCGCAGGGCCAGCAGTGAGCTGGCGATCCTGTGGTCGTTGCAGCAGCTGCGGAAAACCGGGCTGGGAACAGCAGGTTGGGAACCTCCGGGCAGCGGGGGCCTCGAGGTGCGGAGTTCTTGTGGCCGAGTTCTGGTCCCCTTCTCTTGCAGCTGCGGGACTTCCTGTTGGTGTACAATCGGATGACAGAGCTCTGTTTTCAGCGCTGTGTTCCCAGCCTACACCACCGAGCCCTGGACGCGGAGGAGGTGGGGCCGTCACCCTCTGTCCTCACTTAGTGACCGACCACCTCCCTCGCCCCCTTCCCTAGCTGCCTGGCCCTGGTCCTTGCACCACCCTCACCCGTAGCCAGCGGACGGGGAAGGATGGAGCCGGGTCTGAGAATACTCTCTTGTCCTCCCCCTTCCCTCCTCTCCCCCCTGCAGGAGGCCTGTCTGCACAACTGTGCCGGGAAGCTCATCCACTCCAACCACCGCCTCATGGCTGCCTACGTGCAGCTCATGCCTGCCCTGGTGCAGCGCCGCATTGCAGACTACGAGGCTGCCTCAGCCGTGCCAGGTGTCGCCACCCAACAGCCGCCAGTCTCGCCGTCTGGCAGCTGACCAACCCCAACTTCTAAGGCAAGGCCTTGGATGGGCTCCCTCAGATTGAAGGACCCGATTTGGATTTGGGCTTGGTGAGCTTGAAAATTGGGCAACGAAGCTCGTTTTCCTGGAGCCAATAAACCCACCTTTTACCCTGTTTGGTTTACTGGGCACTGTTGGCACCAGCCCCGTTTCTGTCATTTAGTGTGTACCTTCTCACTTCAACCCTGAAGACAGAGAAGTCGCTTTCTGTATTTGAAAGGAAAGCTTCCCTGTGCCCAGGCAGCTGCTTCAGTCCAACTTTGTAGGGACAGTATTAAGGTTGGTAGCTGCAAGAGAAATGCTTTCTGCCCAGAAGACAAAACGCGAGTCCTGCCCGGCCGTCCGTAGCCTGTTGGATTTGAATGGCTCATGTGTGATCAATAGTGCATTGGTGTGTAACTTTTTATGGACTGAGTGTTAATCCTGCTGATCCAGGGAAATGAGATAGCAATAAGCCACAGATCTGAAACCCACAGTGATATTAGGAACTGCCTCCTTGGGAGTCAGGAACTACCAAGAGGAATGAATGTTTAGGACTTCTGGGGTGTTTTGGAATTTCTCCAGATTTTTACTTTCTTAGTGTTTGCTGCTTTTCTGGATTGAGCAGTAAAATCTTAAACCAAACAATGTCTGTTTGCTTCTCTTTGGATACAATCTTGAAGGGTCAAACTTGGGGACCATATTCTGTGATGCAGCCAAGCTTTGGAAAAAATGAAAATGGAAAACAAGTAAGTGGTGGTGGTTATGAAGAAAGGGGATAAAATAAAATCGTTAGGGCCTTTTGAATGCTCCCTGACCATTGAGGGCTTGTTGATAAGCTCTCTCCAGCTCTGTCCAGTAGAAACTTTGTGTCCTGCTTTGTGTTTTCTGGTTCCATTCTTGTCTATCTTACCATTCCCCCTCTCAAATACCTTTTCTTCTGGATGCAACAGTCTGAGTGACATTATCCGCCACCTTGTTTTCTTGCTATCAGCATCCCATATGTTTGATCTAGTCTATTTCTCTACTCAGACTTGTTGAGAAAAACAGCTGTGTAATGAATACCACCACATAGTCAAAAGTTTCCAGCCTCAGCCAAGCCATCTTTGACACACAATCCTTAGTGGCTTCCTGGTCCGTTCTCTCTCCTAATCACCGTGCAGTTGCTTTACATCTCTGTTAATAAATTGCATCCTCAACCATCCCTCCCCAGGTGCCTTTCTTTTATTTGATGCTCCTAAAATTTGCTCTCGCGACAATTTATAAAGAAAAAAACTACCATGACCCACAGAGCAGTGTTTTTCATCTACAAATCAGAAAATTCAGATTCTCAAAGAGCAGACCAAATTTGCATCAAAAGCAGAGCTGTCTTGCTAGTCCATTTCCTTTTTACTGCACCTACGTGCCTCTCAGTATTTTTTGAGCATGCACTGTGTATGTGTTCTGGTGTTGGTTGATACCATGCTTTGTCCTAGTCTTTTTTTTTTTTTAAGATTTATTTATTTATTGGAAAGGCAGATATACAGAGAGGAGGATAGACAGAGAGGAAGATCTTCCATCCGATGATTCACTCCGCAAGTGAGCACAACGGCTGATGCTATGCCAATCTGAAGCCAGGATCCAGGAACTTCCAGGTATCCCACACGGGTGCAGGGTCCCAAAGCTTTGGGCTGTCCTCGACTGTTTTCCCAGGCCACAAACAGGGAGCTGGATGGGAAGTGGAGCTGCTGGGATTAGAACCGGCGCCCATATGAGATCCCAGGACGTTCAAGGCGATGACTTTAGCTGCTAGGCCACGCTGCCAGGCCCGTCCTAGTTAATCTTTACAACAATCCTGCAAGTGAGTGGTCTTATCCCCACTTAACAGATGAGGATAGCAAGAATTCAGAAGCCCTTATACACATTTACCAATGGAGAAAAGAGTGCCAAGAAAGTTAAAACTTGCTAGCCAAGAACTTGAATTGCTTTATGTTTATCCAATAAAATTCTCTCCTAGAGAAGGATAATGAATGGGATCCTGAAATACCATGCTGCAGATGGACAAATCCTCCCCACCAACATTTGTAATAAATTCTCATCAATTGTCTGTTCCTCTTTGCCTGCAACATACTAATTGCTGGCACAGGGCCAAGAACATAGATTTCTCTGCCTAAAACCTTCTGGACCGCTTGCTCATTCGTCTCTACCCTGCTTCTAGGCATAGGAAAACAAATGTCCCTCAAGCTGATCCACCAGTTTCTTGTGTTTTTAATCCTGTCTGGGTTCTTTAGAACTTCCCGCTCCTTTGAAGCTACTCATTCATAGAACCCTCTGATAACTTGTCCTACCATTCTTACTAACAACTCTCCTCTTGTTATTTTCCTCTAAATATCTCGTGCTTGATCTTGCTATCCACTCCTTTAGTTCCTCAGTGTTTATATAGATAATCCATTGAATGTTTTGGTTTTAGACCCAATTTTCAGTAGTTTCCACCCTGCCTTAACCACCTGGTCCTTTATATTCTGGGCTGTTGTAATCACCCCAAACTCTTCTCTATCTCCAAAATGCTATTATTAGTATTTTATTCAGTGGCACTTAATTTCTTGAGCCATTCTCTACTGTTACTGTTTGCTTGTAATGCAGCATTCAGGCCAATGCTTCTGCCTTTCTTCTATTAATACCTTTCTGCTTTAGATCCCCAACTAGTTTTGACTGGTGATTTTTGTTGGAATAGGCTGAATCCCTTGCCTTTCACCTCTTTTGTTTTTTTTGTTTTGTTTTGTTTTTTTGTTTTTTGACTTTGGGATAAAGTGAAACATGGGCCTGTGCCTGCATTTGAAAAGCTAAATACTACACAAAGAAACCACTATTGGAAATTCAATTCCATTGAAACAGTTCTTAACTAACGGTACTCTCCCAGAATCCGGTGGTTGTTTCATAGTCCTTAGCTTAATTCACTTCTCGGTAACATTTAATGCTATTTTCTGTTTCTGCATCTTTGACGTTCTTTGGTGTCTGACATCACTAAAACTTTTACCACTAACTATTGATTTGAGTACAGGTTCTTAGCCTCCTTTGTTGGCTCGCCTTCCCTCTAGCCTTTGACTCTTAGGCTTCTCTAGGTAGGTCCTGTTATTTTTCATTTTGTTGCTGATGACTCCCAGGTCTCCAAGCTACTTGACAGCTCCACTTAGGTATCAAAGGAATCTCAAGCCTGCATGTTTCATTAGGAACGCGTCCTGTCTGGTATTCATCCAGTTGCAGAGACTGGAAACCTAGACACTTCCTTTATTCTCATACCTTCACTCATTTGCCAAGTTCCTTCAGTTTGCATTTCTACTTATCCTGTGCCCTTTAGAATATCTGCTTTTATTTGTCTTCATTTATTATTATTGCAATTGTTACTTTTTTTTTTTTGCAGACAGAAAAGTTTGTTTACGAAGGGACTGGGTGAGCAGGGAAGGGGAACACACCTCTAAGGAGAAATCCATGAGGCGGGGTGCCTCTCAAAAGGGGAGTAAGAGACACCCTGTTGCTTTTCCTCATGCTCACTTTTTTTTTTTAAAGGAGATATGATTAGGAAGAGTTATTCTTTATTTTTTTAAGATTTATTTATTTTTCATTACAAAGTCAGATATACAGAGAGGAGGAGAGACAGAGAGGAAGGTCCTCCGTCCGGCAACTCACTCCCTAAGTGAGCGCAACGGCCGGTACTGCACCGATCCGAAGCCAGGAACTAGGAACCTCCTCCGGGTCTCCCACACGGGTGCAGGGTCCAAGGCCTTGGGCCATCCACGACTGATTTCCCAGGCCACAAGCAGGGACTCATGCTCACTTTTATATACTGAAAGTATTACTTCCCACTCACCAGCCAGAAAACAAACTGATGCTTAAAGTTTTGCAGTAGTGTGCCATTCTTGGAGTAAAATTCAGATTCTAAATATGCCCTAAGCTCTGCATGATCTAGCTTTTGCCTGTCTCTAGCATTATGTGAATACTTTTTGTTAAATTGACTTGCATCATACTTCATGTGCTCTCTGGATGCTATAACCACATGGGCTGCCTTTTCTCTAACCTACCATACTACATCTCAGGGCCTTTTTACTTTCTGGTTTGCAATAGTTTCCTTTTTAACTGACTTAATCTTAAGGTTTTAGTTCAGGGGTCCCTTCTCAGATTTTAGCTGCTGTAATTTCCAATTTTTTTATACGTAAAAATGTTAACAATATGTAGTTTTATACCTCATGGGTGCAGACTCAATGTCTGTTGCTTACCATTGTTAAATAAAATGCCTGGCATATAGTAGATACTCAGCAGATACTTAGTTTTTTGATGTGTGTGCTTTTTTTTTCTTTCAAAAATTATTTTTACTAGAAAGTCAGATTTACAAGAAAAGGAAACAATAAAGAAGAAAAAAAAAAGTCAAATTTACAAGAGAAGAAGAGGCTGAGAAAGCTCTTGCATCCTCTGGTTCACTCCCCAAGTGACTGCAGTGGCCAGTGCTGCGCCGATCCAAAGCCACGAGCCGGGAACTTCCTCCAGGTCTCCCACGTGGGTGCAGTGTCCCAAGGCTTTGGGCCATTCTTGACTGCTTTCCCAGGCCACAAGCCTGGATGGGAAGCGGGGCCACCAGGATTAGAACCGGTGCCCGTATGGGATCAGGACACTTGCAAGGTGGGGACTAGCCACTAGGCTACCGTTCCAGGCCTGAGCCTACACATTTAATTTGCCAAAGATTTAGACTGATTTTTATTTTCATTTTATCTCATGGGGTAGTATTTTACCCTTAGTAATCACATGAGAGTTATCATCTGAAAGGCCTCCGCTGAAGCCAATCTTTGTGTCATTTCAAGTTTTCAATCAATTTCTGTTTTGTAGTTCCACTTGGATCCTTTCCTTTGCTCCATCTCCTGGTCAGCTCCTTCATCAGACTTTCATCAGCTATTACGCAGATTGCAGCAGCAGTTCCCTAGAGATTTTATCTTGAGTATGGCTCCCCTTTTGTTCAGTTAGAATTTAACTCAGTTATATGTAACAGAGGCTCAAAATAACTAACTTCTGTTTCTCTTTGAAGTAAAATTCTGGGACAAAGCTGGTGTCTCCAGGGGCCAAGATAGAGCAGGAAGTGCTGGTGAAGGGGTAATCTGCTTCCCTTGA